ATTTAACTAAACAATATACAAAATAGTATTATTATATTTGGTGAGATACCCACCAATGAAAATGCTCTTACGTACCTCATTTGAAATTATCAGAATAATAATATTATGATGGATTAGGTTTAATCGTACGTTTGGTAGGAATGAAAATTTGATTTATTATAATTAGTTATGAATTCATGACTATTGAAACGTATACTTCTTTTGTTTCTACATATGTACTTCAACTTTCACGTGGTCAGCTTTTTTTGTTTTTAAAATTGCAAATTAATTTTCTGATTCACAAGTTGTTATTTTAGCATGCATGTGAAGTTCCCATTTTAGGGGATTCTACTCAGTTGCATGTGCATTGTATATGCATATTTGACTATGCAACTTTGCTGCTTCTTGAAACATTGCAAAAAATTATATGAAATTTTAAATTAAATTCTGGCAGCTAAAAAATGAGTGACAAAATAGAAAATGCTGCATTATTTTTATTTACTATGAGTAAATGAGCAAACGACCCTTTTGTATATTTGGTTACAAACTTACAAAAGTTAGAAAAGGTGTAATTTACTTTTGGTGGTCCAGATTTACCAACAAAGAATGTTGTTTTTGATACATTTCACAAAGGTTACAAAATATTTATAGCATATACAACAATATCTATATTCAATATATCACTAATTAAATGGTGATGATGTAAATTTTAGTTTTAAATAAGAGGTAAAGTAGAGATTTGGTTTGAAAAATCAAATTGAAAATGCGAAACGATATGTTTTCAGAAAAAAAAATATCTTTTGAATCATGATATTTGTAAAACGACCATTATTTCTGAATCAGAGGAATAACAATTATGTTAAACAAGATAAAAAGTATACTCATTATACTTCAGGTTTGTTGTTAGCCTTAATAATTAATGATGATGGGTTAACACTCGGCAATTTATGTATGTTTTTGATTCAATGCAGAGAAGGTTGTGAGGGCCCGCACGAGCACCAACGAACGGAACACGTGTGCGGGCGACCACTGGGCCTGGCCTTTGAAAAATCCACTGGTGATCTTTATATCGCCGATGCTTATATGGGCCTTCTAAAAGTTGGCCGAGAAGGTGGTTTAGCCAACCAGATGTTGACACGTGCATTGGATGAGCCCCTCAGGTTTACCAACGGACTGGACATAGATCCACGAACTGGGGTTGTCTATTTTACCGACAGTAGTTCGGTTTATCAACGGAGGTAACATACACATGCATCTACTGTAATATATCGTATTGCATTCATGACCGGTCCTGAACCAAACATAGATTTGCGGGTTTCTAAGAAGCGTAGTATGTTCTATACTTCTATATATATATATCTACAAAACGGTTCATTTTTATACATTTTTTTCTCGGTTTTTAAACTTCAGCTAAAACGTGTTAGAATTGTAATTTTTTAAACATGAAAAACTTATATCGTATAACAGCGTAATTTTTTATTTTTTTTAAACTTACAACAGCGTAAATTGATATTATAAATTGTTTTTTTTTGTATGTTTCAGGAATTATATAGGGGCAATGATGAGTGGGGACAAAACAGGTAGACTCATGAAGTATGACCCAAACACGAAACAAGCGACCACTCTTCTAACCGACCTAGCGTTCGCAAACGGTGTCGTTCTTAGCCAAAACGGTGATTACCTTCTCGTCGCCGAGACCGCCACGAGTCGTATCCTACGTTACTGGCTCAATGACACGTGGACGTCGACGCCAAAACCTCGCCAAAACTACGAGGTTTTCGCGGATCGGCTCCCAGGGTTTCCCGACAACATAAAGAGGAGTCCACGTGGCGGATATTGGGTAGGCTTGAACACGAAACACACAAAGCTGACAAAGTTCGCCGTATCTAACGCGTGGCTTGGACGCGCCGCCTTGGGACTACCGGTGGATTGGATGAAGGTCCATTCGTTTTGGGCCACGTTCAAAGGGAACGGCATGGCCGTGAGGCTGAGCGAGGGTAGTGGCGTAATTACAGAGGTTTTCGAGGGTAAAAATGGAAATAAGTGGATTTCCATAAGCGAGGTGGAAGAGAGAGACGGTACTCTATGGGTTGGATCGGTGAATACTCCTTTCGCTGGCATGTATAAATTAGAATTTGATTAATACAAACATGCTTTTATTACATCATTCTAATTCATGCATAATTAAATTTAAATACAAATGTTTCAGTTCGCGATTTTATAGTGATAACAAGTTGATACTATTCATAAGTCTATATGAACCTACTGATTTTTATTGACCTTGTTACAAGTTTATTCATTACTATATACAACTGAAGTTAAATATAATAATCCGTGATTTGATAGTAAACACAGTTGTTATTATTTATAATCCTCACAAGAACAAAAACATTACATAACAAAATACATATATGTTATATGAACCTACGTTATTGAGCTAGGTACCCTCTTAGATACCTTTTTATTATTATTTTGACATACGTACGTAATAGTACTAAACCACGCATTGCATGCATACAAACATACAGTTTGTGTTACACGCCAAATCATGGCTTAG